TGTCGGCTCACCCCAGGGCGGTTAAACGTGCAGTTGTACGAAACATGTACAAAACTGCAGTGGGGGTGTGCACCGGCAACGAGGAGCGAGAAGAATCCAGGAGACTAGCAACTCAGATAGCTAGTCTCAACGGATACACAGCCTGGCAGCAACGGCGTACGCGAAACACAGCGAGACCTTTCCCACATAGAGCTGAAGACAAGCTGTATCTTCAGCTACCGTTCATATCGGACCGCTTCACCGCAGTTATACAACAGTGCCTCCGAAGAGCCGATCTGGCCAACGATGTTCTTTTGGTAAATACACCAAGAGACAATATCAAACACCAGTTGGTCAGAAATCGCCTCTACGACCGAATATGCACCACGGAGAACTGCGTGATCTGTCCGTATGGGAAACTCGGTGACTGTACACAACGGGCTGTCGTTTACCAAATCGAGTGTTTAACGTGTGGCGCATTATATATTGGTGAAACTGGGAGGGCATTAGGCGTACGCGTGAAAGAACATCTAGCAAGCAAGCGAAGGGAAAGTTTGATTGCACCGCTCGGCAGGCATAGAAGAGAGCTCCATGATGGCTGTGATTTTAGCGTCAAGTGCATAATATTGGCCTACGAAAACGATGTTGGTGCCCGGAAAACCCTTGAGGCGTTCTGGATTAGGCACCGTAATCCATGTATGAATAACAGGAATGAGTGCATCTCAATAACGGCCGATTTCTTGCCCTATATTCCACTGTGTGAGCTCTAACAGTGAGAACATGATGCACTGCACGTACATACTATCATCCTGTAGCAGTGCTCGGTCGGTCTCACTTGCTCCATTGTGTCGAAATCGAGCAGATCGTTGGTGCTGGTGGGAGTGGAAAGGTAACCTGAAGTTTTGAGTTTCCTTTCGTTGGTAGCTTCTTGGTCTGGGTTGCAACTAGTCAAGAACGGGTTCAGGTTGAACAGGATCGATAGCTTTCATGAGTTTCGATATGCTTTCAGGCCTTTGATAACGACGATACCGTCGAAACGTCAGGCAAAATAAACACTTCCACCATAAAAACCTGTACGGCATAGTAAAGAAACATTGAGTCTATAAAAATGCCCAGGTTGCAAGAAAGGCGAACATGGAGACAAAAAGCGAAACGGGGTCTCAGGAGGGCAGAAGACTTGCATGGCCTGGGCGGAAGCCGATCCAAGACTTGACCAGCGGACCGCGCTCGTGATAAGTGTGCCACTTGTCACTACTACAGCACCACCGCCCCTGCACCAGTGTCTTTATCTAGTCTACCGTTCCTGACGAGAATTTATATTTTTGAGTGCAGTCAGCATCACAGACACACTACCTTGCCCGAAATTGCTTGTATTGCTCTCATAGACATCGTTCCTGGTCGGCGATTTTCAATGACTGCAGAGATTTCACAGAAAAAAAATAAACACGTTTCTGTAGTAGGAAAAGATTCGCAGGTCACGCAAAAAGGGTTGATTATGTGTCTTTGTAGAATCCGTGATTCCGCAGAAACTCCTAGACTTATCTAGCACTGAAACTCCACGCTTTCCAGATAGACAGGCTATGAGACCAAATTTAGGCGGCTGCATTGATCTCAGGAATGTATTGCGACACTGGATATTTATAAACCCTGGGAAGAATTTAAATTTTTGAACTATTGCAAAAATGAGAAGGTCGAACGTGAGCATATGTCCTGTGTGAGACATAAGTAAAAACATTTTCCTGTAGAGGGCTGATATATTTCGTCTGTAGCAAAGTATCAAATAGGCGAACTCTATGCAAAGTCTCGAACATGATGGAAGTATAGTAGCCTTTTTTACTGAAAAATCGCTTCAGATATTCGTTGTGTTCTGACCGTTTCAACTTTTTGCTGATTATCCATAATTGGCCTTTAGCCGATTCTACTGTTCTATCGCCGTGGAATGTTTACATCACCCTCCTTCCTATCCCCTGATGTCTCTTTGTGCGGCTCCCAATTGTATAGTCATACCCAGGAAGCATTATCGCTAAGGCTAGCTCAGTTGTGGCTGCGATGAGTGGAAGCTTATTTTGACAGAAGCTGAAGATTTTTCTTCCGAAAGTTTTTTTCACTTTTATTACTCGATATTCATATGGGGCTGCTCGAACCGTATAACCTAGTATATGAAAGGTAGCTCGAGACAAAATGCATGGATATGTTCAAGTAGCAACCAAATTTAGGTATCATATGCAGCATGAATAAATTTATGTAGCTGATGCGCATTGGGAAAATGGGGAAAAGTGCAGTGCCAAGAGGCCGATGAGGACCTAGGGCGTTTTACGCGGAACGCGATGTGCCATGTTGCAGAACGTCAAATAACCCCTCAGGCACGAATTTTTAGTTGGAATGCCGAGTCCGCGGGCCAAAAACTTTGAAAAACTTCCTTAACAATTAGATGAGAAGCATGACGAGTAAAACTTTTGCTCAAAGTTGCGAACAACTTTTCATTAAGATTAAGTCAAGGGTTCAGTTCAGGGAGTCACTCGTCTTCTGTGCACTTCAATACCATACTATAACGGCACGCATCTTGATGTCCTTCGAATGTCCACATTGCGGCTTCAGGAACAATGAGATACAGAGTGGAGAGGCTGTTCAGGTTTGTCTTTTCAATAACAACTTCTTGTTAAAGGCGGTTGGCCCCCAAGTCGATTGGCCTGCTGAACAGGATAAGAATACCGCGACGCTGCGGCAGGCCTGCATTAGCGGTTTCCCCGAGCGGAGGCTGCCTATATAGGGCCCCCTATTTAAGCCACAGCTTTACGTCCTCAAAACGCCCGCCACGCCCGCCCGCCCACAAATGGACGACCGTTCCTGACGCTCGTATTCATTCATTTGCTAAGCAAATTATGAAGCGAAGGGATTGGTATGAAGCGGTCGTGATGCTGCATGCATACATGGGTACACATATGCAGCCGTATCTTCGGTAGCGGTGATTGGTAAGATGCTTACGGGAAACTCGTCCGAAATCGATTTCAAGTCACTGAGAACGGAGGCTTTTTCTTCGCAGGATTTTGACCGTTTCACTCCGTTCTTTCGCCATTTCCCCACTATACAGCGCCCTACTAGCATTTTAGGCTAAGTAGGAAACCATCGTGCCAACTGCCTTTAAACGGCTTCTAGGTCTTCATAGGAATTGTTGTTCGAATCCCCTTTCGGTGCACTATGTTCGCGTGATGTCGTATTTTTTTATCAGTGCGTGCGATTATTTGCAGTTAGCGCTAATTTGTCCATCTTCTTTGCATTCTGATGCAAATCTACTGGAAAAGGATTACATCTTCGTTAGCTCAATGAAAAGGACTAGTTCTAGATACGGCAAGATCTGTGTTAGGTCAGAACGATGATTTTTCGAAATAAATGTCTCCCTCTGTAGTATATGCCCCACTTATTGAGGACAGATCCTTATATAATCCTGTCCTATTTTTCCCAAGTCTTCAAAATGTTTCTTGTCCAGATTGCACTTTTATAGCGAGTACCACCCACTTGGTCTAGACTAGGCTGTCTCAACTCATGTTTTCTCGGCGCTTACCTCAATTCTCTTATTCATTCTACTTTATGTGACCAGTATGGCTGTGACGCACTACTGCGGGCGCATTGGTAAACCTATGCTACTAGTAACTGACCGATCTCTGTGCTGACCCGTCTTGCTTATCGCACTTCTTGAAACATCGTTTGAAATACGGGCAGCTTTGCGGTTCAAAGAATTTCGATGGTAACAGTATCGAGATGGTATTGAAATGTCTTTACATCCTAGTACTACGTGGAAATGGTGAAGCAGTTTCCACGTATCGGTGGCTCTTATCACTCCTCATTGGCAAACATCTCTAGTCTTTCACTTTCGAGATTTTAGCGGTCGAAACCGTTTCAGCTGTATCGCTAGGACATAAACATCTTGACCCATGCTTATAAGCACTTATCGGACACTATATCACAACCTATTTCCCACCACCAATGTTCTCTAACCACCCCTGAATCACTGCTGGAAGCAGTCTACCACTGTTGCTACAACTTGAGCTAAACGTTTCAGAAGCTCCCTTTCTTGAGTGGTCCCCTGTGGTATCTTATCAGCTATTATCACTTCCTGCCACCCACCAATATTGTTCCCAACCTGCCCCCCCCCTTCTCCTCTCAAAGAACGTCTTGGAACCACCGTTCCACCGCTGCAGTGACGCGAGTCATGAATGCAGTGACCATCCCTTTTTGAGGCTAACTGTCAGCCCTTGTCAGCATCATTTCCTGGCACCCACCAATATTGTTCCCAACCTGCCCCCCCCATCATTTCTTGGAACCACCGTTCCACCGCTTGCAGTGACGCGAGTTATGAATTTGGTGATCCGCCCCTTTAAGGCTCCTTGTCAGCCTTGTCAGCTGTTATCACCTCCTGCCACCCACCAATGATGTTCACGTCCAAACCCCTATATCACTTACCAATGTGAACTCTCTATGGCCAATTTGAAGGAAGTTATGAATTTCCGGTCAAACACACAAGCACACATACAGACACACACACTAATAGGCAAACTTAGCGGATTATATATAGTAGGATTGTTCATGAACGCATGGCCTAGCGGATTTGGAACATGTTTGTCTCTTCAGGAGCATGGTACTGAAGTTGTGTTACGAGTGCAGGAACAAGTGGATCTCCGGCGACAAATGGTGAGATCAGAGTATGCGACCATTGAAGTGCCAGAGCTGGAACTGGTGATACCTGCTAAAACTCACCCAGGAGGTATCTGTATGTAACGCAGAGCAAATGTTCACTTCTGGTTAGGTAGGTATCACCTTTGCATGTGTGGATGTATTTCCCTTTCAGAAGTCACTACAGTTGAAGGAGTGCTAGAAAGGGTCGGAGCCGGTCTTTCCCAGGAACAAGACCGGAGACGAGAACTAGACCCTGATAGTGCAGCAAAAATCGACGAGTTCCTTGTACATTTACGGAAGTGCATGGACCTTTCTGAACCCTGGACTCTGGTACTTGGTTTTTCTCTTTCTATGATAGATTAGACTGATAGCCTTTCTTTCCCCTGTTAAGAAGCTCCACGATCCGACAGGGAACTGCTTCATTCAAAACCCTGATCCTCGTCACGTCGATCCACGGTGTATAGTTTCGCACTATCATCGTAGTCTGGAGGAACGGAAACTTCTAGGGCTGGCTGATGATGATGTGTGAGTCGTATTCAGTTACGTACGTCATCCCATTCAAAAGTGCCGAGACATATAGAGGAATGGCAGAAAAGCAAAGGGGATAGAGCAGCGGGCTACTATACCATTTGGAGGCTAGTACCTTTAGCTGTGTATCTGTGAAATTTGGCGAACCTACCCACAGAAGTTCTCGAGAAATTGAAAAGAAGCCCGAGTGGTGAAAATCAGCGCCGGATTTTCAAATCGCGCTGCTCAAATTTGACCTGCGCCGGACCAGTAGTTGTGTGTAATGGTGTTCTCGAAATACAAGGTGGAAGGTTTGGTTCAGGAGCCCGAAGAAGGAAGAAAGGAAAAATTTGTTGTCGTGGATGGTCCCATAATGTTCATCAAGAAAAAGGGTGGATGAAGTTAAGGCGTTGAATGTCTGATCCCAGAGCGTGGACCTTTGTCGAGCTTCCTCGCGAGACTGACATCACTACTGCAACTGCTGCCTGAGTTATGTCCGATAAACTGAGGATGGTCAAGAGGGTGTGCGCATGGGTACCTAATTTTCTTGTAGAAGCACGAACGCAGTACCGATTCTATTTCCTCTAGCAGTAATCTTCTCAGCATGAGATGTCATTCACGACTGTGAAAACGCACATCAGCCTAGATGAAATATGGGTGGTCTTGGACCTAGAGCCAAAACTCACAAGCGTCAGTTTTGTATGAATGCAGATGAGAAGCCGCCCGAGTTCTACCATGAGGAGTTATGTGGGCGCAAGTGGATGATCATCATAGCAAAGGATTCTTACACTGTGGCTTTCAGGCGGCTCTATACAGAGAATAAAATCGTCGCTGTCGGTGTATATTGCCTGTTCCTCGGCAATCAGATCGACAAATGGATGATACCACACAACTACAAGAAGGCCACCGTTGCTCGTCATAGTGCCAGACCCCGAGTAACTGTATTGTAGGGCAGTGCTGGGACACAAACAATACTGAGACCTGGGTTCAATCGCCCCATTCGCCCAACATAAAGCCGTTCGATTCCAACTGTTCTGGTCAGTCGAGGGTACTCGACGGCAAACGCTACGTTTTGTCATTCGCCGAAATTGGCATCAACAGCAATTTACTCGCACTTGTTGAAAAAACGAAGGTACCAGAGGTCCAAGGCTTTCGGGGCACTGGAGGACCAGGAGCGGATCATTGAAAGAGGGATCTACCTAAGTAAGTCAAAGCCAAAATCTTGGGAAGCCTTTGAATGGGATGACCGATTACTATCGGCGTTGGATGTTGCAAACAATCCCTCCTTACGAAATTGGAATTTCTGAACTACTCTAGAAACGGTGACAGTCTCTATTTTTGCAACCATGCGGGCTCAGTTATAAGTTCACCCCTTTATTCTTATTTGCTCTTTTTTCATGTTGAGCAGCTGTTGCTCAGTGAGATGAGATGACAGCTATAGTCAGGTGAGATATAGCTGCAGTAAATATGGACTTTAGCGACAGTTTTCAGTAAAGAACAAGAACCAGCGCCGGAATGGAAGTCTTTCGATGATGCAAAAAGAGAAATTCTCCATTTTCCTACGGAGTGCCCAAACTGCGGATTACCTTGTGAAGTGCTGATGAAACCAACGGGTGAACTTGATTTTCTTTCTTGACTCGTCCTTTAGGTGGTTCAAATGTGATTGAATGACTGTCTATTGTTGGAACGAGAGCAGTTCGCCCTAACAGGCTTTTTACCAACTAATTAACATTTTGCTGGAAATTCTCAAAGTAAATACTTGATCGTAGTTGCAATTTAATGCCCGGTTGAATCATTCATTGATACGGAGGCTGCCGGCTCTTACTCTTCTTATGCTTCCAAAAGAAATCGCTCCCAACTAAGCGACCTTGACAATGGTCGAGGGCTAGGTTGGCCTGCATAGGTATTAAGACTGGGTTTCGAACCCTAGACTGTGCAGGTGGGGTACAAAACCCAGTATCAATAGTACACAGGCCCCTGGCATAATTTGTCTTTACTTGACCCCGATTGCATGCTGATTGTTTGCTTAGTTAAAGGCAACCAGACAATATAAATCCCCAGAAACATGTAGGAATTAGAAAACTTCTGAAAGGATTGCGCGCTATCAAGGTGCACCATACCGACCCAGACCCCCACCGGGCCCGCCGCCCA